GGCGATTCGCTGAGCATCTTCGGAAGACATTGGTCCGCCTCTTCACGAAGTGCCGATTCACTCGATCTCAAGGAGCTGATCGCCGGCACCGCCTGCATCGAAGCGACACATCATGAATTCGCTGATGGTATTCTCGCCCAATACGGTACGATTCCCGCGTTCACCTACCGAGCGGTAGATCAGCCATTGCTTCTTGCCGATTTGCACCCGGTAGCCCACGGCTACATCGGGGGTGAGAATTTTCCGGTCTTCGGCCACGGTGAGTTGACGCCAGGTGATGGGACGCCCACGGCGACGCGGGTCCATATCGATGAGCAACGGTGCGTACATCCCCGAGCCCGTTATCGACTGCTCCAATTGCAAGTAGTCGGCATGGGCATGCAGTTCCCCTACGAGGGTATCTCGCCGCCATTCGTTCAAGGCGAGCGGCAACACTTCGGCTCGGGGCTTTCCAGCGGTAAGGGTCACTTCCCGCGTTCGTTTTCGTGGATTTGCTACCGTGCCAGAGTCCAAAGGCCATGTGGCCGAATAGCGAAGATCGCACCGCGATTTGGCCAGCACGGCGTCGGCAAGGAACAGAAAGCGATCTTCACGGGCGAAGAGCATCTGCCGCTGAAGGCGAATGTCGCCAGAGAATGAGGCTTCGAGTTCCAGGTAGTCGACGTCCTTATCCGACTCCCAGCAGACACACTCCCAATCGGTCAGTTGTTCAATACGTTCGTCGTCGGCCGAGATATCTACCTTCGCTTCACCGAAAAGCAGCGAGTGACGACCGAGGGAAAGTTCTACTTTCAGCTCGGGTTGTGAGTAGTCGACTGCGAATAGCCCTTCGTTGTGTGACCATGAGGGACGTAAGATCGCCAGCTCGGCCCACTCCGAGTTGGTGGATGTGGGAGGTAGCTTTTTACGATTACTCTTCGCAGCAGCCGCCTTCTTGCCACCGGGTAGCGCGAGTTTGGCGATGACCCGATCTTCGCGGTCACCGTCGATATTCATGGCCGCCTGGAAAAGTTCGGCCGGCCAGGCGTCGTCTCCCTCGTGATCGAGCACTTGCGATCCGTCTCGCCGGGTAAAACGCATCGCCTGGCGAATGATCCAGGCGTATTGAATCTCAGCCGGCTCATTCCAGCAGCCATGCTTCATCGTCCGACCCATGGCCATGCATCGCGTCCAACAAGCCAACAGCGGACGCATCAACGGCAGCAGGGCGGCATGGGGCAGTCCTTCACCATCCAGGAGGAAGTCGGGGCCCTCGGACAATGCGCGGCGGGCCGGATTGATCAGGCCGCGGGCGATTTTGATCTCGGGGAAGTTGTAAGCCAGCGACAATCGCAGCTCGCCTGCGAAGAGCTGATGCTCCAAAGGCGTTTCGTCCAGCTTGATGTAGTCGGCGTCGAGCGCCTTATCAATTAGCTTGTCGAGAACCTTCCACCAGGTATCTGCCCTGGTTCGCTCGGCCAGCGGGGCCAGGGCATGGCTCCAGGCGATGTACTCAAGAGCTGCTGCAGGGCTGTCGTCAGTGGATTCAAGAAAGTCCTTCACTACGGCCTCGACGACGGCTGCCGAAACCGACTTGCCGCGGCAGAGCCGTTGCAGGATGTCGAGGTGCTCATCCAGGGTGGTCGATGTGCCGATTCGACCCGCGGCCCAAGCCAACGGGGAATTCTTTGTGGGCAACAACCGCACCAGTGGCTTCGGCTGCAGGCGACTTCCCAAATGCTCGAGCCATGCTTCCCAGCCCTTACTTTCGTCGAGCCAGGCACCGGCTTTGGCGACGGTGCGGGGGGCAGAGCTATGCCATGCCAGACGGCCATTTAGCGGAATAGGATCGACGTGATATCCGTTCTTGCCGGCAATGGAAGTCTTCGGGGCGCTTGTCTCAGTGGCCATAACCGTCCTGAATGCTATAGCGTGTTCTTAGCCGACGATGGGAAAACTCATTCCTGCAATCAAAGATGTAGCATCTTTCAACGACCCAGGGGGTTGTTGCCGCCGGCGTTGTCGTGGAGGTAACAACGCGGGTATCTTAGCGGCAGCAGGGCGAATTGTCTTCCCCTTTCCCGCTTTTGCGGTCGGTTGAGTTTGACAATCAGCAACCCTTTCCTCGAATGCATGAGCCTTCCATGTTGCACGACATGTTCTTCAAACTCCAGACAGTTTCGCGGTACACGATCGCTTTGGGCCTAATCGTTGTCGTGGGTGGATGTGGATCTCCGACCGCCCCGGAAACTGATAACGAGGCTTCACACGCCCCCGCCGCCGGGGAACAAGCTCCGGCAGAATCGCAGGCGCCCGATGAATCGACTGGGCAACAAACGCCTACGGGCGAAGCCACGCCGCCGGCAGACTCGACGACCCAGATGACTTCGGAATCGTCGGCTCCCGCAGGAACCGAAGAACCTGCCTCGGAGCCGGGCACAAGTTCCACCGCTCCCCCGGACACCATCGCGGGCGATACGGTCCCGCAGCCGCCACCGAACTTGAATGCTCCTCCCGAGATCAAGCCCGACCCGCCGGGAATGCAGCGTCTGCACGAAAAATACAATGTTTGGGTCGATCCGGCGAACAAAGAGGTGGTGATGGTCAGCGAGGTGGTCCTGCGTGAGGGGGGGCTCGAACTGTTCGCCTGTCTGCTGAACACCAAAGAACATGAGGCCATCGTAGCGGTCGATACCGAGGCTTTCATCGTGCACGCCGGGCTGCTTGCCGTGGGAGCAGAAGCCGGGCACCCGGTGATTTTCAGACCTGAGTATCAACCGGCCGAGGGCAGCCAGATTGAAGTGCTGCTGGAATGGGAAGACCCCGAGACGGGTGAGAAACAAACGGCCCGGGCTCAGGATTGGGTTCGCAACATGGAGACCGGCGAGCCGATGCAGGAAAACTGGGTCTTCGGCGGCAGCTCGTTTTGGGAAGACGAAGTGACCAACCAACGATATTACCTGGCGGAAGACGGCGATCTGATTTGCGTTTCGAACTTCCACAGCGCCATGCTCGACGTGCCGATCGAAAGCCCCCAGTCGAACGACCTGCTGATCTACGAGGCCTTCACCGAGAGAGTTCCCCCGGTGGGGACCGAGGTGTGGGTACGGCTGAAGCCGGTGAAGAACGAAGATGGTGGTGAGGTAGATACTCCTCCGGCGAACAACGAGGGAGCGTGACAGGGTAGTCGGCTGAAACGAGTACCAGCCGCATGGCAACACCGGTCATCTTTCGACCTATAACAACGGGGTAGAAAAACATGTCTGCACGGCAAATTGTCGAAGTAGCTCTGAGACTGCTGGGCCTATGGTTTGTCTTCACCGCCATCAGCACATTCACCGCTGGTGGGGCCCTGTACATGTTGGACTCGATTTCGACCGACCCCCAGGCACTAAAATACCTGATCACAACCTTCTCAATCTTCGGCGTTCAAACCGTACTTGGGATCGCAACGATCTATTGGGCTCCCGCAGTAGCACGCTTGTTCTATCCGGAACCGGTAGACCCACAGAACGCGGAATGGCGGGTTGGTTCGGGGGACATTTATCGAACCGCTTGCTTTGTGCTCGGGGCCTATTTCCTGGTTCAGGCCGCGAACTCAGGAACGCTCTTGGCGATTTCGGCTGTTCGAGCCCCCGCTGCCGGCAGTCTTCTCCCAGGTGGTTGGCTTAGAGAGACGGCGCAACTGGCGGTGTATGCCATATCCGGCCTCTTGCTGGTGCTCGGCTCGCAGCCCATCAGCGATGTGTTGGTCAACCTGCGCTACGACCCCGATTCGATTCCCAAGCAGCAGTTCAGCCTCACTGTGCTGTTGGTGGCAATCGTGTTCGTGGCCATCATCCTGGGTGTGATTCGCAGGATGTCGCTGTAAAGAAAAAATCTTCGCTACGCAATCCGGCAGTGGGCCAGCATCTCTTCGGCGGTGGCGATGTAGCTGACGTAGAAGGGGCCGAACTCGGCGTACTTGGCGCTGGCCTTGTCGAACCGCATGCGGTAGACGATCTCTTCCAGATACTGCGGGTTTTTGGCCCACAGCGTGACGCCCCATTCCCAATCGTCGAGCCCGAGGGCCACCGTGATGAGTTGGGTAACGCGACCGCCGAAAGTCATGCCGGTGCGGCCGTGCTCGGCCATCAGGCTGTTGCGCTCGCTGAAGGGGAGCATAAACCAGTTGGCCCCCGGAACGCGGCTCTTGTTCATCGGGTAGAAGCAGGTCGCCGGCCAAGTGGGCAGCTCCGGAGTGAGCCGCTGCCGCCGCATCATCTCTTCGCGACCGGCGTAGGCCTTCAATTTGGCTTGGTACGCGGGCCCCTCGGGATCTTCCCCCTCGGCAACCAACCGCTGGCCGTACTGCTCGACTGTCGGCACATACTCTGAGACTTCGGTAAGCGACACGAAGGAATACGTAGACTCGAGCGCCGGCCCCAACTTGGTGGCCAGCAACCGCTGATGGACACTGTCGACCTTCAATGGGTCGGGGTCCATCACCATCAAACCGAAGTCGGCTTTGTGCCCCGAGACGATGGAAACCTGCAGTCGCTCGGGGGCTTCGTCGTGCGTGGGATCTAGCGCTGCGATGAGTTGCTGAATGCCCTCGGTACGCTCCGCCCCCGCAGGTAACTTCCCGCGATCGAAGCGGTAGTAAGAATGCGTACAGTGCCAACCTTCAGTCGGCTGCAGAGAGATATCATTTGTCGATTCAGCACTCATACCGCGTCGTTCGTCCCGTTGCGTGAGAAAGATGAAGAGAACCGTACGCGGATGATACCACATGCCCCGTGGCATGAAACGGGGCGGGAGGCGTGTGGGTACCACCGGATCTCGATCCGGTGCGGCGCAGCCGCTGGAGGCAGTGTTATTGAAAGTTCGCTATTCAAAGTCCGGACAACTACTCCGCCAAGAGTCTTATGCAGAGCAGCAGTCCTGCCTGATAGCATCCTGTCGCCTTCTGCGACCCATGTTCAAGAACCTGGGCCACCCATGGCCTTAGTGATGCAGCCAAAAAAGAAATGGGCGTTGCACTACGGCGCGACGGCCGAGAAATCGTCGATTAACCGTCCCCATACCTCGCGGGTGACTTCGGCGGGAATGGTTTGGCGGGGAGCGCCGGGGCTTTTGGCGTAGCGAACGAGGCTCATCACGCCATCGTGCGAGACGACCAACTCGTAGTACTTCGTACCGTCGTCGTCGCGCTGCGGGGGGCTGGAACGTAACTGCACGTGGCAGCCTTCGGAGTCGATCTCGATCGGGCTGATTGGCTCGAGCAGGTAATTGAGCCGGTTGGAGAGATCTTCGCCGACTTTCTTGAGATCATCGACCGACGAACCCTTGAGCGAATCGGCCGTGACGGCGAATTCATCGAACGCGCAGGCCAATGCGTCGACGGTTACCAACCGGCATTCGAATTGCTGACCACCGTCGCGCACGTTAACGAACTGCGGTCCAGGACTGCCCACGGCTAACGCGTCAAGGGCGTTTGTGGCGACTTGCTTGAGACTCATGACATCACCAACTTCGTAATACTGTTCCGAATTATCTGAGCGGGCGCCAACTCGTGTGGCATGACGCCGCCTAGAATGTTTCTGACGACGACAGCTTGTCGAGGCTGTGTTCCGACCCGTCGAACGAGAACACCGCCGGCTCTTCATCGACGATGGTCTCGATATGTACAGGACGCCGCCAGAGCTTCTCGAGGTTCACCAACGTGTCGCGGGCATAGTCGAACTGCAATTCAACGCCAGCGAACTCGTGTTCGAGGTACAACTCGCCTCGGTTCTTGTAGTTTCCATCGCGAACGCGAATGTACGGCCGGCCCCGGTTCGTGAGACTAGCCAGTAGTTGGGCCTTCACCTTGGGAAACTCGCGGCTCTCTATTTCATAGTAGTCGGTATCGTTGTTGAAGCCGAAGGAAAACAACTTGTGCTCCCGGCAAAACTCCAGCGTGAGGAACGAATCGACAAACGTCAGGTCGTTATGAACGCGTCGAACCTCGAAAATTTTCTCACGGCCCTTGTTCGCTCCGGTGTCCCAACTTTCTTTCTCGTAGTGATCGTCGCAGTTTTCGTAGTCGCTGCCGAAACGGCCCTTATTCCAGCGGTTTTCGATATCGCGGAAGAGTTCGATGCCCAGCTTGTAGGGGTTCAACCGCCCGGAAGAGGTAGCCAACGTGCCGGAGTGATGATCGCAGTAGTGGATTACATCCGAAGCGTCGAGCCCGTCGCGAGTCATGATGGTCGAATGCCAGTAGCTGGCCCAACCTTCGTTCATGATTTTGGTCTGCGCCTGTGGGGCGAAATAGTAGGCCTCGTCGCGAATGATCGACAACACATCCAACTGCCACGGTTTAAGCGGCGCGTGTTCGAGGATAAACAGCATCACGTCGCGGACCGGTTCCGAAGGAAACGACAGCTCGCCTTGCTGGCTTGCTCGCAGACGTTCTGACTCGGCCGCCAGCACATCGGGCGGGTTCACGAAATCATCCATGTAGTTCTTCGATGCAAACCGGCCCGAGGGCAGTTCTTCTTCCTGCGGTTCTCCACCGTCGAAATCGTAACGGCTTTTTTCATCGTGTCGCTTGATGAAAGGAGCATGGATGTCTATCAGGTCCTCGATGCTGAGGCAGGCGTCGATGAACTCCTCGACCTCTTCCATGCCAAAGCGGTCCATATAGCGGCGAATGCGGTTTCCGTGGTTCGCCATCTCGTCCATCATTTTGCGATTGGTCTTGCTGAACCAGAAGTTGTTCTTGAAGAAATCGCAGTGACCATAGACGTGGGCGATGACCAGCTTCTGATCGGTGAAGGCGTTGGACCGCAGCAGGTATGCATAGCAGGGGTTGTTGTTGATGACCAACTCGTAGATCTTCTGCAGCCCGTACGAATAGCCCTTGGTGAGCTGCTCGTACTCCATGCCAAACCGCCAGTGCGGATAGCGCGTGGGGAAGCCCCCAAACGCTGCGATCTCGCTGAGCTGGTTGTAGTCGACAAGCTCAAAAATGGTCGGAAAGAAATCGAGCCCGTAACGTTTCGCGTGGCTTTCCATCTCGACCTGCACTTCGACCAAGTCGGGCGTTAGTAGCGACGGTGAATACAAGCTCATGATGCGTTTCCTGCCTCAGACCGCCGAACCGTAGTTCGATGGCTGAAAGTGTTTCGGCCACCGCCATGTTGGCAACTAGCCGGAGTCTGGTGAAATTCGTTCTCTGGCGTCGGCGAACTGGTCGCGGACTAATTCCCCTTGCCCAAGAACAGTTTGATTGAGTCGAGGATGGCTTCTTTGTTTTCAATCTCCGACAGCACCACTTTGTCACCTTCTTCCGACAGGCCGCTTTCCAGGGCATGCAAGAACTCGCCGCTGCCGTAGGGGCTTTCGACCTGCCCGTAACAAAACTGGTTGATTTTCGGCAGTATTCGCTCGCGCAGCAGCCGGAAACAGACTTCGTTGTCTTCGCCCCAATTGTCGCCGTCGGAGAAGTGGAAGCAGTAAATGTTCCATTCGTCGGGCGGGAATTTGGCTTCGATCAGGTCGGCACACACACGGTACGCCGAGCTGATGCGGGTGCCGCCGCTTTCCCGGGTGTGGAAGAACGTGTCTTCATCCACCTCTTTGGCCGCCGCGTCGTGGATTATGTAGCGAACCTCCACACCGTCGTACTGGCTCTTGAGCCACGTATCGATCCAGAACGCTTCTACCCGAACGATGTCCTTCTGTTCGTCGGTCATCGAACCCGAGACATCCATCATGTAGATGACCGCCGCGTTGGCGTCGGGCTGCTCGATCGTCTTCCATGAGCGGAAACGCTTGTCGTCACGAATAGGCACAATCCGCGGATCGGCCGAATCGTAACTACGCGAAACAATTTGCCGCCGTAAAGCTTGCTTGAACGTGCGTTTGAAATGCCGCAACGATTCTGGCCCGGTGCGACGAATGCCGGTGTATTTCGATTTCTCCTGGACGATGTTCGACTTGCCCTTCGGCTCGATGTTGGGGAGTTCCAACTCGTCGCCCAGAATCTCGGCCAACTCTTCGAGCGAGACCTCGACCTCACGGATGTGGGCACCGGGCTCGTTTCCGGCTTGCCCGATACCACCGGCTTCGTCATCGCCTTTGCCGATGGGGGTTCCGACGTCGCCTTCGCCCTGGCCAACTCCGCCTGAGCCGTTCTTGCCGTAGCGAAAGTTCGGCACATCGAGCTGTGGAATCGGGATGCTCACCAGATCGCGACCTTTGCGGCCGATCATCTCTCCGTGACTGACATACTTCCGCAAGTTCTGGCGAATCTTCCCGCGAACGATTTGTTTGAAACGGGACTGATCCCGTTCGATACGCATAACCACTGGCTTGTTCCCGCTGGAGTTTTCTGTTGTTCCGGTTTCGACGAGATCTCGCGGTTCCGCTCCTGCCATTGGAATGCGTGCGGAACCGGCGACGATGACCTCAAGGCGAGGCCATTCAGAATCGTTTAACCCGATTCCTTCGAATCGCCTCGCGCGAAGATGCTGGCAACGTAGTTCAGTACGTCGGTCGCGCTCTCGTCGTCGTAGCCGTAGTCACGAATCAGCCGTTGCTTAACAATGTCGATCTTGGCCTGGGTATCGCTGTCGACCACATTCGACACCAGGCTCGTCAGTTTGATCGTGTCCTTCTGGTCTTCGAACAGCTTCAGTTCCAAAGCGCGATACAAACGCTCGTTGGTCTTGTAGTCGAACGTTCGCCCGTCGATGGACAAGGCCCCGATGTAGTTCATGATTTCGCGGCGGAAATCGTCTTTGCGGCTGTCGGGGATGTCGATTTTTTCCTCGATCGACCGCATGAGTCGCTCGTCCGGCTCTTGATACTCGCCGGTGAACTTGTTCTTGACCTTCTCCTTCTGCGTGTAGGCTTTCACATTGTCGATGTAGTTACCACACAGACGCTTGAGCGCGTCTTCGTCGGCGGCGATAGCACGTTGGACTTCATTTTTCACGATGTTCTCGTACTCCTCTTTCACCACGCCAAGCAGCTCACGATAGCGAGATCGAGCATCTTCGCTGGTCACTAGGCTGTGATGCTTCAGCCCGCTGGCCAGTTCATTCAACACCATAAAGGGGTTGATCGACGTCGCGTCAGGATGAGCCACGAGTGCATTGGAAATCTTGTCCTGCACGTAGCGCGGTGAGATACCGACCATCCCTTCGTTGGTGGTCTCGTCACGAAGCTCTTTAATGTTATCTTCAGTGAAGCCCGGCAAGGTCTTGCCGTTGTACAGCTTCAGCTTCTGCAACAACGTGAGCCCGGCGTTTTTGGGCTCTTCCAGCCGCGTGAGAATCGCCCACATGGCGGCAATTTCGATGGTGTGCGGGGCGATGTGCTTCCCCTTCACCTTCTCGGGGTTGTAGTCCTTCTCGTAAATCTTGATCTCTTCCGAGAGTCGCGTGACATACGGAATATCGATCTTGATCGTCCGATCGCGAAGGGCTTCCATGAACTCGTTGTTCTGCAGCCGACGGTATTCCGGCTCGTTCGTGTGCCCCAGAATCACTTCATCGATGTCGGTCTGGGCGAACTTCTTCGGCTTGACCTTGTGTTCCTGGCTCGCACCGAGCAGGTCGTACAAGAACGCCACGTCCAGCTTCAACACTTCGACGAACTCAACCACGCCGCGATTGGCGATGTTGAATTCGCCGTCGAAATTGAACGCCCGCGGGTCACTATCGCTACCGTACTCGGCGATTTTCCGATAGTTGATATCGCCGGTCAGCTCGGTTGAATCTTGGTTCTTCTCGTCCTTCGGTTGGAAGGTTCCGATTCCGATGCGATCCTTCTCGCTGAGGATCAACCGCTTCACGCGAACGTCTTGAATCACGCGCGGCCAGTCGCCGTCGTAGCGTTTGAGCCGCTCTGAGTAGATGAACCGGCAGAACGGGCACAGTTCACCAAAGATCTTCACCTTGTATTCGTTCTCGCCGCGGCCTTCGTTGAGCGAAGCCATCGTGTCTGCCCGGAACCGCTCGGGAATTAGGTGCAGCGGTTCCTCGTGCATGGGGCACCAGTGCACCTTCTCGGGATCCTCGAGATCGGTCCAACCGAGGGTGAACAGGGCCCCCTCTTCTTTAGCCGAGTAGCGTTCAAGGCCCTTCTTGATCAAGCGGGCAATGGTGCTTTTACTGCTTCCAACGGGGCCATGAAGCAGTAAAACGCGTTTCTCGATGCCGTAGCCCCGCGCGGCGCTTTTAAAGGCGTTGACCAGATGCGTTTGGGCCTCGTGGAGACCGAAAACGGCATCCGCACCGTTGTCATCGGGGTCGGTGAAGAAGTTGTACCGGACCTTGGTGTCGCGTCCCACGGGCACTTGTTCGCTGCCGTACGACATCACCATGTCGTAGACCCGCTCGAAGGCGTTTCGGGTTACTTCGGGACGATCTCGCACAATGTCGAGGTACTCCTCGAAGGTTCCCTCCCACGTCTTATTGCGAAAGAGTTCGATGTCCTGTCGCTGTGCAACGAGATCGATAATGTTACGCCCATGTGCCATAGTCGCGTCTCCCCGAAGGGTTGTATGGCCGACTCTGGACCTTGAAAGCTCTCCTCGCTCTCTTGTCGCGAGTCGACTTTAGTTGGTTAGTTTCTGATCACACTCCGTTCATTTCCGCCTACTCTTCCTACCTCTACGAAACGCGTTAACCGTCAATCTTGTTCGTTTTTTTCTGGTCGCGCAGGGGCAAGTGCCATCGGCATCACGTCGGGTGAGGCCCCTTCCATGACAGAATTGGAAGGATGGCAGATTACAACGCCGCGAAAGATACGGTTGGGGCGTCGGGCCGGTCGTGCGCAACCGGAAGAAAAAGTTGCAAAAGAGCGGAACGCAGGGAGAGGAGGCTTCGAGGACGAGGTGAGTCATCTGGTGCCAGTGTGGGGCACGAGATGCGGGCTCCATCCCCTAATCTCAACCTATCCTCCCACAACATAAGTATCGCTTGATACTATCATGCCGGCAATATCGAAATCTCGCATTCTAGCTAAGCTCAATTCCAAGACGGGCGCATAAGTCATTACCCTGAAAAAGCTTAAAACTGCGCCCAAAAAATCTTCGGTTGGCAGGGATCAGCGGGCTTACACCATGCCAGTCGTGTTCAAGGGTCACTAGACAGTGCTATGGAGGCGCCACAAGGTTCGGTCCCGAGCTGCTTAATCCGCCACTAAAGCATCGCCGACACACCCATAAAGGCTGGCACTAAAAGGCTTTGTGTCGCGAGAAATGATGACCGACCATAGCCAATCGCCCAAGTTGAGTTTTGGGACTGACAGAGTCAGCTTCGGCCAAGCTATTCAGTCACTGAGCAGTCGGGTGACGCTGGCCAAAAGGCGATCCATAGCAAAGGGCTTTCGGATGTAGTCGTCCACGCCCAGCATTTCGGCATAGGCTTTGTGCCGGCTACCCTCGTTGGCGGTGATCATGATAACCCGCAGCGGGACAGGGCGGGTCCGGCGGAGCTTCTCAAGCACCAGGAAACCGCTTCGCTTCGGCATCATCATGTCCAGAATGACGAGATCAGGATCTTCCCGCTCAGCCATGGCCAGGCCCTGATTTCCATCGCGGGCGACCATGATGTCGTAGCCCTTCGATTCCAGGGCGTACCGCATCGACTCGATAATCTCCGCATCGTCGTCGACCAATAGAATGCGCTTCTTATCGTCGGATTTGTCTTCTGCTTTAGCGGCCATCGAAGCGCGGCCCTCCTGTGACTTGTTTGCGGTCTCTCAAGGTAGCTCATCTCCTTGGAGAAAGAAGTATCCGACACGGGCCGGTTTTGCAAGCCGCCCCATGCCGCTGAACCCCGACACAGAGGCAGATCTACCATCTGGAAAAGCATAGCGACTCGTACAGCGGTTTGCGACCGACTACAATCGGGCCCTAAGCTAATCCTCAGTTGAGGCTCGCCGAATCTACTTCGCTTTCTTGTGGGGTCGCCATCATGCTCACCGCTCCTGGATGCCGTGCTCGTCGCGATCGATTGTGGAACGCACTGGACAGTCGCCCGGACTGGATCGTCATTCGCGACCCTCAACACCTGATGTACTTCGCTGGGTACTATCAGTCGCCATTCGAATTTCGCTCT